TCTCCGTGCCGCGCGTGAGAGGAGGCCGCCAGGGTGGCCTTGAGCGTCGGAGACGGGAGTGCACGGCGGCAGTTGACATTCGTAGACGGCAGGGTGAGGCGTGTCCGCGCCTCTTACGCGCCGCCATGGTCGGGTGGGTGAGTTCGGTGGTGTTGTCAGTGCTCTCCTGGCTCTTCTCACCGCTGCCGTTAGCGGTGCTGGCCGTCTTATTCGTCTGCGTCTACTTTTACGTCACCAGGCACTTTGACTTCTGGAGATCCAGGGGAGTGTCGGGCCCGACCGCCAGGTTTCCCTGGGGCACGGAGATGGGACCGCCGTTCTGGACCCCCTTTGTCACGTTCGAGGAATGGCTTTACCACAAGCAAGGTGGTAAGAACATCTGCGGCTATTTTGAGCTGTGTTTGCCAGTGCTGTACGTCGGGAACTTGGACCTGATTCAGAGGATCACAATCAAGGATTTTGAGTACTTTACAGACCGGCGCGAGTTGGTGCTCTCAGAAGTTCTCAGTGAAATATTGCTGGCGCTGAACGGCGAAACGTGGAAGGACGCTAGGTCCGTGATGTCACCAACTTTCTCGGCCAGCAAACTCAAGGGCATGCTTCAGCTGTGCCTGGAGAACGCCTCAAATCTGAACGCATACGTGCAAGATCAAATGAAGATGAATGGTGAGATCGAACTTAAGGACTGCTTCGGTCGGTTTACCATGGATAATATCGCTTCCTGCGCGTTCGGTGTCAACTGCAACTCGTTCAAAGACACCAACTCCGAATTCGCCAAGAACGCGCAGGAGCTTTTCAAAACTCCTCGCGGATATGCTGGCTTGCGGGCCATACTCATCCGTCTGTTGGGTTTGAGGTCCGTGCGCCTGCTACCTGACCCCATTGAGCGCGTCAACGCATTCTTCAGACGGATCGTCAAAGACACTTTAAAGCGGCGCGAGGCCGGCAACTCGCGCAAAGACTTTCTCCAACTGCTCCTCGAGACCAAGGACAAGAACGGCAAGCGCATCCTCAGTGACAGCAGCATTGTCAGCCAGTCGGTGATGTTCTTCATCGTTGGCTACGACACGACAGCCTCGCTGCTAGCGTTCGCCGCGTACTGCCTGGCGACGTCGCCTGACGTCCAGAACGCCGTCCACCGCGAGATCGACGACGTCCTGCAGCGCCACGGCGGCCAGCTGACCTACGACGCCGTGGCAGAGATGACCTATCTGGACCGGGTGCTGTCCGAGACGCTGCGGCTGTACCCGCCGGCCATCCGCATGGAGCGCCAGTGTAGCCGAGACTACACATTGCCCGACACGAACGTGCATATTCCGCGCGGCACAACCGTCCAGATGCCGATCTTGAACATCCACCGCGACCCTGAGCACTACCCGGACCCTCTGCGCTTCGATCCGGACCGCTTCCTACCCGAAGCGAAGGAGGAACGCCACCCGTGTGCCTTCGTACCCTTCGGCAGCGGGCCGCGCAACTGCATCGCCATGCGTTTCGCGCTGTTCGAGGCGAAAGTGGCATTGATTGCCGTGCTGCGGGAGAACCGGCTGGAGCCGAGCAAGCGGACGCCGCCGCCGCCCATGCCGCACAGCGAAGAGACGTTTCTGCTGACCCCCAAGGAAGGCATGGGCTTCCTGCGCGCGGTACCCCGTGAGATGCAGTAGGCGCCCGCTGTCTGGTCGGGGGCCAAGTTGGCCAAGTATGACCCACTTACCGAAGTGCAACTTTCAACTCTGGGTGGAGTGAGATGCCACGTGGAATGTCATCTCTGCAAAGTGGTTGACTTTGAAGTAAGCTACTGAACGATCAGACCAAGACTTCGGCACAAACGCGCTTCGGAGGGTAACAGCTGTGTATGGGAATGGCCCCTTGATGTCATTGGTCCATAGAAAAACGGCAAGTCGAACATTTTTCATGGAGTGGGTGCTTTGGCTGATAAAAATAAGGGTTAATATAATAATGAAGAATGTACTTAGCATTCGTGGGTTCTGCAGCATCGGTGGGATGATAGCGATAACGCAGATAGCTGTAATCTGCCATAAACTGAGTGGCAGTAAACAAAGCCAAAGCGTCGCACTGAGAGCTTGATAAGGGTTCGAGAGTCTTATCAGCGATGCTGATAGATCACAGCACTGCACCTTAGTCGTGTAGCTGTCCGCGTTCCTGAGGGCGGCTGAGCGCCGTCCCTTCAAGACTGTAACTCGAGCGCCAGTGGGTCCGCGCCAGCCCGTAATTGGCTGGGTACGGGGAAGAGCTGGGCAGCCGGAAGCTGGGTCCCGACAGCGGCTAACGGACGAGTGATGAGGCGAGACCCTGCCCACCGATGGCCAGTAGCATAACTCATAAGCTACACTCAGCGTCCGGGAACCTAACCGCTGTGTTCTGTTATGATTTTTTTTACCAGTGAGACCATGGGCTTGGTGAGTCTGATTTCAACTATGAAAACAGTTTTCAGCTTGTTGGCACTTGCATGAGCTTGCTCAACCCGGTGTGTTTCCTGCATCATTGCTCTCTGATCGCAATGCAGCCCTCCCCACTCCAGACACATCGAAAACGTTTACGTCGTTAGCTTGCAAAAAAGCTTGAGAAACACGTCTAACGCCAGCTCAGACCGCGACAGTCCGGCAACGCAGGACAGCAGACCAACCATCGAGACGGGGAAGGGAGCGGATAATCACAAAAGCAGCAGTGTAGGTCGATGCGTGCATCCAATCACAGGCTGTTTTGCACGAACCACGGGAGCGCCCGTTCTCGGGCGCTTCAAGGATAGTTGTCACGTCTCGGCAACCAGAGATCACATACGCCTCAACTGCATCGAGTGACACCACTAATGTTGTGACGTCTTGTAGTACGTATTAGGCATACTCAAACATAAACGCAAATGTCTCGCGCATGAAGATCACCCGTCTCCCACACGAACTTCGAGCAGGGCGCGGGCTAAATCCGGGGAGAAGCCTGTTCGTTGTCGTAATTTGGCGACGAGTGGAATTCTTTCTCTCTGTTCGGTTCGCCTCTAACAACTAATATTGTACAACTACTCCGATCTAGGCTGTGCAGTTTTGTTTTTTATGAGGAATTTAGAAGCCACTGCGTGCCATTTTGTCTCCACTCTCTTCACTGTGTCGTACCATTATTGACGGTGATAGGCAAGAACGCCTTTGATGTCAAGCTCCTAGAACTCAGTTTGACGGGATCCGATGGTGGTAATGTGATCAGAGCCGCACGTTTGAAAGTAATTGAAGTTTGACTACGTGCAATTCGCTCACCTCGCTCAGCATCGTTGCAACGCTCAGCATCTTCGAGTTGACTTCAAGAACTCTTGCCGACTACGCTGCCATCGCGCTGTTATTATGGGACCTTGGCTGCCACCCCGTCTCGCATCCGTAGCGGCGTATGATGTTTACCTTTGGTATTTTGCGGACCTAGCAGCCCAGTGATAAAACTTCTCTCATTTGGTAGCTTTCTAGCAGATTTTCTCCACAAAAGCGTTTTAATATAGACTGGAATAAATATGCGGCTGGGACTTGCGCGGTATTGAGGCCAATACGAAATTTCTTCAAATGTATTCATGAAATTGCGCTGTAAAAATAACGGTGTGGATACGTTACGATAACTCTGGTGTATGAATTGTATGTGCTACCTTTTAAAAAAACCATCACATGCATGCTTATCGTTAAAATGTTGTTGCGCGCCTGGAGGTGCGCATAGATCTTTGTTAACACGCGCCCGGGTGGCCGGCTAGATACCCTTCGCTCGGGTGGGTGGGGTGGGGGGGGGGGGGTGTCAATTCAGTCCCCCCCCCTGAGATATCCGGAACCAAGAAAGCTAGAGACACCAAATTACGAGGCGTGTTGACCTGTACGTGACTCACTTAGGTCAAATTTTGAGCTTTCTAGGTCATGATCTTCAGGTCAAATAAGGCCAAACAAGGTCAAATTCCAGGTTGGTCTCCAAAGTGCCCTCAGAACCTAAGCAATTGTTCCTAAACAAAGGTCACAAACCCGTTTGAGGTCAGGGACCTTGTTTGAGCTTTTCAAGGTCATTGTGACCAAAATCATACAATATTGCTCTGAGTTTTTCAACCGAATAAGTGACAAAGATTACGCTAGGCAGTATGTGTTGTCTGCGCGGGCGAGTGTCTCGGGTTCCACCCGCTATCAAAAAATACGACGGATGCTTTGTGCTTCAAACCCCACACGCGCACGATACGGAGTCTTGACGGCAACTGCATTTCTGTGCTGCCACACAAAATGTAACGAAACACGGGGCTGCCAAATCCCTGCGTCACTTTCCCTGTATGAAGGAAAGTAAGGCAGGTACATCGCATCCCAACACCTCCCCCCAAGACGCTTACGGAAGGGGATGACGCGAGGCGTTTAACATAGGCCCAAGGTTAAGATAACTCTGGGCTGAACGAGCTCAGGCTGCGGCAAAACAAGAAACACACGAGGGCTGCCGGCTGACACGTGGAGGGGGGGGGGAAGGGGGTCGTTCACACATACGTGTACATCGGGTCTGACCACCTGATGGACAGAAGATGTGGTCGGCGGCGGATCCTCGGCTCCCGCGGGAGCGGGGGCGGGGGGGGGGGGGGGGGGGGCGGCGGTGCCGCCCCAGGCGCCGGGTCCGTGATGGGCGTGATGTCAGACGCAACGCCCGTCTGGTCGCCGGCCAGGCTGGGCGGCGAGTCGGCGGCGACGTCTGGAGACCCAGCCGTGCTCGACACCGGGTCTGGCCACCAGACAGACAGCCGCCGAGTGAGTCAAGGGGATCGGAGCGGAGGTGGCAGCGACAACATAGGCGCCGGTCGTGGCAGGCCGCCGGTCAAGCTGGGCGGCGCGCTGTCATTGACGATCTCTGGCTCGGCGGTGCTCGGCGCTGAGCGGTCCTGGTCTCCGGCGTCATCGGGGCAGTTCAGGTGCTCACTGGGCACGGCGCCGGCGGCGCCATCATCTGGTCCATCCACTCCGTGATTCTGACTGTCGCTGGTCGTCGCGCTGTCCTCCTGACTGCCGGCGCTGGCAATCAGGGGTTTAAGCAGGCGGAGGAACGGACGATTCCGCCAGAAGATGCGGCCGCTCGGTAGCCGGACGAGGTAGTCACGCCGCGATCCGGCGCCAGTGACGGTGCCGATGCGGTCCCGCAGATGAGAGGTCGGATCCTGGATGAGGACGTGCTGTCTGACCCGCAGCGGGCGATGACACCTCGCTGACTTGCCATACCGCTCTACGGAGCGCTCCAGAAGTTTTGCCGCCTTGGTATCGCAGTCGTCCGCGGCCTCCCGCCAGCGTTGAGGGAACGCACGGTGGTGCACCGTGACCGCTGAACGCAGCGGGTGACCGTACAAGATCTGCGCTGGAGATCGGCCGTCCGCCCGCGGGTTGTTTCTTAGCTCCTGCAGACCGGCTGTGAAGTCGTCCGTGTTCAGGTCTCCGCCGGCGGGGGTTTTCTGCACGAGCCATTTGACGGCCTTGACGGCCGCCTCTGCGTGCCCCTTGGACTGCGGGTAGTGAGGTGTCGACTGTTGATGGTCCACACCCCACCGGCGGAAGAACTCACGGGTGAGCCGGGCGCTGAACTGGGGCCCTCCGTCGGTCCTCATGTAGGCCGGTACGCCGTTGACGGCGAACACGCCGCGTAGGCTGCTCACCAGGTAACTGGCGAGGATGACGCCTCTCCAGTTACCCGTGACACGAATGGCCAGCCAGAAAGGTGGTCAACGTAGACCAGGAAGGTCCGTCCGGCCCAGGCGAAGTAGTCCACGGAGACGGCCTCGAACACTCGCGAGGGTGCCTCCTCCGTCATCATGGGTTCTTTCTGCTGACTGGGCAGGTGCAGTTGACATTTGCTGCAGGCGCCGATGAAGTTCGTGATGTCCTGGTCCACCCGGCGCCAGCACACCGCCTGTTGTGGCCGCCTCTTGGTCCGCTCGACGCACTGGTGGCTGGCGTGAAGTTTCTGGAGAGTGGCGCGACGGAGGCACTGCGGTGCACACCACCAGGCCGTCATCCACCGTCAGACAGTCTCGGAGGCCCCAGTACGGGCCCAGCAGCGGGTCCAGCAGCGTCCGATGCTCTGGAAAACCGGTCAAGATGGCCTCTTTCAGCGCGATCATCTCCGGGTCCTTCTCGGCGGCGGCGCGGGGTTCTGACAGCGCGACGTCTCGGAGCGGGCTGGCGCCACCGTCGGTGTCGGTGTCGCCACTGACGAGCCTGGCGACCATGCTGGCGGTCTGGTGACTGACGCCTTGTTCCGCTTCCTCGTCGTCAGGTCATCCACGGACGCCCGAGACAGCGCGTCTGGGATGGCGTGCAGCTTTCCCTGCCACCAGGTGGCGACGGAGTTGAACTGGCTGAGTCGCCCCCGGAGACGCTGCAGACGAGGGTTCGCGATGTCCGCAATGCTTTTCGAGTTGAGAATGGGGATCAACGGCCGATGATCCGTCACTACCTCGAACTGCTGCATACCGCTGAGATATATGCTGCACTTTCGGCACGCCCACGCCAGGGCCAGCAGCTCGAGTTCAGTCACTACGTAGCGTGACTTATCTCCAACAGGAACCGAAATCCGCACTGGGTCAGGTGCCACCGGCCAGCCCTGTTCAGCTGACGGAGACAGAAACCGAGACCGCCGGCGCCGGCTGCGTCAGTCTCCAGCACCGCCCGTCGCAGCGGATTGAAGAAGTCCGGCACGGGAGGCGACAGCAGCGCCATCTTCACGACTGCGAACGCCTGATCGTGGGCCGGCATCCATAGCCAGGCGTTCCGCGGCCGCAGCGACGTCAGAGAAGTACCCCAGCTGGTTGGCTAGGCCGAGGAATGATCTCAGGTCGGTGATGTTGCTGGGCTTCGGGAACGAGTTCATGGCTCGAATATTCTTATCGTCAGCGGTGTAGCCAGTCGAGCTGATGTTGTAGCCACAGAATTCTGTTTCCGCTTCCGCGAAGCAGCACTTTTCCGGGTTCAGGGTGATCCC